CACCGGGGCTTTGGTCACCCTCTTCTAGGTTTTTCTCAGAGCTCTCTCACCCCAGGACAGGACCAGGAGCGGGTCTAAGTAAATACATACTGCAATGGCTTTGACTGTCTTAATGCAGTCAGAGAGACCCTGAAAACACAGACCCCTGAGCAGAGACAGGGAGGGGATAATGAAGGTGCTGCCAATGCCTCGATGCTCACAGCAGCATCTCCGTGCTCTTTCCAGGCTGACCTGATGGACTGGCTCAGTGCCATCGGGTTGCCCCAGTACCACAAAAAGCTGGTGAACAATGGCTATGACTCCATCACCATCGTGACGGACCTGACGTGGGAGGATCTGCAAGAGATTGGCATCAACAAGCTGGGTGAGTCCCTCCCGCCGTGCTGGGGTGGCCCAGGCCAGCCAAGTTTCCCACCCAGTCCCCACGCCCCATTCTCCCTCAGGCTGGGAGGTGCAGGCATGTCCTGAGCACCTGGAAAGGGCAGTTCATGGCTGTCCCTAAGGACTCTCCTTGGCAGGCTGGAGCTGGGCTGAGCCAGGTAGATGCTGGAGGCAGTTTGTTCCCTCCCATAGGCAGGGTTTGAATAACCCAGAGGCCTTTGCTCTGGTTGGTGACGTGACCATGACCCTTCTTGGCCAGAAAACAAAGGCCTTGGGGGCTGGAGCCAACCTAATGTCCTTTTCCTTCCCGCAGGCCACCAGAAAAAGATCATGCTGGCCGTCAAGAAGCTCAGAGACCTCCGCAAAAGCCTCAACCAAGCAGAAGCAACTCTGGCAAGACGGAAAGTCCCCGGTTCCCTGGACATTGTCACCATCGAGTCACTGGAGAACGGGGAGTGCCAGTCCCCACACACCCCCAAAATGACGACCTTCCAGGACAGCGAGCTCAGCTACGAGCTCCAGACAGCCATGTCCAACAGCTGCCATGAGACACTTGGCATCAAGAGCAGCCAGGGAATGTCACGGAGCCAGGAGAGCATCGGAGTGCGGTCCCGGGGCTCGGGGCACTCGCAGGACAACGTGCTGTCCCGGCGCCTCTCCAGCCCCTCACAGGAGAGCCTGGGCAGTGGGGAGAGCAGCAGCAGCAGTGGGCAGTCCTGTGCACCACCCCGCAGCAAGGAGAGCCCGGCCAGCCTGCCGGGACGGCCCAGTCCTGAGCCCTACGGGATGCTTGTGTCCCCCGAGGGGCTGAACGGCTTTGCCAACGGTGGTGGAGGCAGCCCTCTCAAGGAGAGGAACCTGCCCGAAGGCACAGATCAGTACGCCCGGCCCGCGGCTCAGAAAGGAGCCGGGACTCCAGCAGTGACCCCCTGTACTCCTCCCCAGACCCCCAGCAAGGGAACAGCCCCGTACGTCTTCATGTACCCACACATCTCCTTGAAATCCCCGACGGTCCCATCCCTCCTGGGAGCGGAGCAGCCCAAGGCCCTGGCGCAGCCGTACCCCTCCATCTCCCCAGGGCAGAAGAGCAGCCTGCAGACATCAGCCCAAAAAGGCTTCTCCTACCTGCACAGCCAGTGTGGCCCCACAGAGCCGCCCACCGCATCCCCCACGGGTGGGGAGCAACACAACGGGGGTGAAGGCTTCAAGCACAAGAAACGCTCCCACAGCCTGAACCGCTACGCGCTGTCGGACGGGGAGCACGAGGAGGAGGAGGGGGCTCCCACCAGCACCCTGGGCTCCTACGCCACGCTGACACGGCGGCCGGGCCGCAGCCAAATGCCACGGGCCTGTCTGCAGGTGGATGCCAAGGTGACCCGCAGCCAGTCCTTCGCCATCCGCGCCAAGCGCAAGGGCCCTCCGCCGCCGCCTCCCAAGCGCCTCAGCTCCGTCTCCAGCGCCCTTGCTGCTGAGGCAGACAGTGAGCAGCCCCCCAACCCCGAGCAGCAGCCCACAGCCCCCCAGGATGTGGTTGATGCAGGTGCCACCCCCAGTGACACTGGCCGTGACAGGACAGTGAAGAGCCTGGCGGCTGCGCTCGAGGGAACACCAGGGGCGAGTCCGCCCAAGCCCCTCCTGGCCCCAAAACCACTGCACCTGACTCAGGACTGTCTCCCCAGGGCAGATGTGGGCGACAAGTCCTATGCTGGCGGTGACACCAGCAGTGCCACACTTTCTGATGGCAGCAGGGACCCCTTTGAGAGCAGCAAGCCACGGAGACGGACACTGAGCGAGCCCAGCGGTCCCATGACAGAGGTGGCTGCGCAGGGCGAGCGAGAGGACGCCTGCTCAGACACGGAGGAGGAGGCCAAGCCAGGAGTCTCCTCCTCGTCCTCCCAGAACAGCTCCAGTGAGTGTATCCCCTTTGCAGAAGAAGGCAACTTGACCATCAAACAGCGGCCAAAGCCCACTGGGCATCCCAAGGCCGACACAGCCGTGCCAGACACAGAGCCTGGTTCCCAGCCAGCAGAGCCCCCCTGCTCTACTGGGAAGGAGCTGGCAGCTCCCGCTGCCGCCAAGGAGCCGCCTGTGCTGGAGTTCAACCTCACTGAGTCGGACACGGTGAAGCGCCGGCCGCGGTTCAGGGAGCGGGAGCCGCTGCAGGCGGTGCTGAAGGCGTTCAGCATGGCCGGGCAGGCTGAGCCGGGGGGCACCCCCACACCCCAGTATGCCCAGGCACAGGCAGTGAGCATCGCAGGCCCTGCCACACCAGCACAGGCACCACGGGCTGGGCTGGCCGGGGATGCCTTTGACGATGACAGCGTGGAGTTCAGGATTGCCGAGATAGAGAAAAGCATCTTGTCGCTGGAGAAAGGGATGAAGAAGGCACCGAGCCCCACCAAAGCCCCCAGCCCCACAGAGCTGGTCGGCACGGCCGTGGTGAGGACACCCACTGCAGGTAAGGGGGATTGTGGGGGTGTCCCCGAGGTGGTGGCAGGGCCTGGGGCTCCCTCCTGTGTTGGTATGGGAGGCAAGGAGGACCTGTGCCACCATGTGCCATGAATCCCCTTCCTCTGCAGATGTCCCCACCAAGCACACCTCTGTGGCATCCACCAAGCTTGTCTTCTCTGGGCCCAAGACCATCTACCAGCAGGTCCTGCAGCCCTCCCGCCACACTGTTGCTCCCTGGGCAGCCACGGAGGCGGTGCCGGATGTGATCGGGTCCCTGCCTGGTCCCAGCTCCCTGACACTGGACACAGGCAGCAAGGTGTTGGCAAAGCCTTTGGCAGCTGCCCCGGGGGCCACCCTGGCCCAGCAGCGGCTGGAGCAGACCAACTCCACACTGGCAGCCACCCTGCAGGCAGCTGAGAAGAAGATCACGGTGGAGGAGGCAGAGAGGTGAGGGAAATCCTGGGGCTGAACTTCTGAGGCGGGATTGGGAAGCTGTGCATGGGCACTGCCTGCACCACACAGGTCACTGGTGCTCGAGCCCAGCTGTGTGCTGAGCTCCAGCTGCCACTGATCAGGTCCAGCCTGGCCAAACCTTCCCCATCAGCACCTGCAGCCTTTGGGCGGTGCTTTGACTCTCTCCCTTTCCTCCCCAGCCACCCTGGGACTGTGCACTCGGCCAAGAACATCCTGGAAGACATCAGCAACATGTTTGACGACCTGGCTGACCAGCTGGACGCGATGCTGGACTGAGGCTTGCTCCCTCCTTCCCCTCCTCACCTCCGGCTGCTCCGCCAGTGCCCCTCGCCATGGGAGGAGTGGATCTGGCACCGAGCGGCGCCACCAGGTCTCTCCAGCCGCTCCCTCCCCGCACTTTGCACTGCAGCTGGGAACGCAGCTGCCCTCCTTGCTCACCCCTGGCTCTGTGTCACACGTGCCAGCGTGGCTGTGGGCCGGTTTCCGAGGGGGTCAAGCATTTCCCACCAGACTGGAAGCAGGAGGAGAGCCCAGAGGGGGCTGCACATGCGGTCCTGGAGGCCACGGAGAAGCCCTCGCTCCCTTGCACAGAGCTGAGGAGCCTCCACAAGGGACCTTTCTCTTTCCCCACTGCATTGTCAAGCCTTGCCTCTTATTATTTATCCCCTGCCAACAATGTGTCACAGGAGAGACCTCCCCGGGCAGCCGCCACTGAGCTGGCGATTTACTGAGCAGTCCCAGCCCCGGCAAGGCCTGACAGCAGCTAAAAGAAGACAGGGCTTGTCGCAATTTGGCAGCTTGTGGAGCGAGAAGGAACCTTTCTGCTTTATTTGCCGCTTTTCCAAATGCGTCAGCATCAGGCAGCGTGTAATCCAAGTGGATCGAAATCCCTCCGGTGGGACCCGCAAACCCCTCGGGATGGGGCTGGCACAGCCTCTGAAGCAGCGGATGTTCTGTCATGGCCCTGCCGGACATGGGGGGCCTTCCTGCCCCTTCCCAGAGTGATGAGGATGGTGATGGCAGCACCAAAGGCCTGGGGATTTGGGCCAGTCCGTCTGGATCGTGCTGCTCAATGGAGTTTGCCCTCTGCCAACACCGTGCCTACACAAACCACCACCCTGGTCCTTCCAGAGCGAAGTAGCAGCGTGTTGACGTTTTTTAATTTCTTTTTCCCCCCCCTCCCCTATCCCTTTTCTTTGTGAGAAAGCAGCCCGTTTTCCCAGTCCCCCTCCCTGCAGGGAGCTGCTGGCACAAACGCCGCCGCCAGCATTGTTGAACAGTAGCGGCGTTCGGGGCCGGGCGCGATCCTTCCCCGCGGCACCGAGGCCCGGCGGGAGAGCTGACCCCGCGTGCACCGCGGGAATGCGGCTCGGGAAGCAGCTCCCGTGCGCTGGATGCGGCCACAGCCCGTGGCTGCAGCGACAGCTCCCTGCATCCAGGCGGGAGGAAACGGCTGCATCGCTCGGAGACAGATTTCTCTCTCGCAGGATCTGCTCAGTAGTGCATGGCTAAATATGTCCAAGAGCCCCGAACTTGGCTCGCGCCCGGCATGCCAAGCAAATGAAAGCATCGGAGCACCAGAAGGGAACTGAAAGATTGTGCTGAAGTGCCATTTGTTACAAAAAAAAAAAAAAATCCAAACAAAGGGAAAGAAAAATCCACGTATTCCCCTCTTTTT